CCGCGGCCCCGGGCGGCCCTGCCAAGCCAGGAGAGGATCTGGCGGCTGCTTGGAGGGAAGAGCTTAACCACGTCCCGAGCGGGGCTGTTTCGGGAGAACCTGTGGAGCTGGAGCAGCTGATCCCGAAGCACGCTGTCACGGAGCCGGGGGAGCATCCCGCTGATGTGGCCGGCAGCCAGGCAGGGGAACTGGGAGCCCAGGTGGGACAGGCAAGTGACGGATGGTTCGTGATGAACTTGGCAGGAGCCTCAGACGATGACTGTAAGGACAGAAGTGAGGAGCGGCCGTGTGAGCCGGCCGAGAGGAGGGACTTGGACCACGAAGAATGGGAAGTTGTTTCCGAGCACCTGGTCGAAGGGGAGGAGGGCAAGGACGGCAGCGTGGAAGACTCAGACAGCAAGGAATGGGAACAAGGAGACTGCTGCGATGGGGACTCGAAAGCAAAGAGAGTGGCAGCCGTGCCCCCCATGTTCCAGAACATCCACGTGGCTTTCCGTGTGCACTACATCACCCACTCCGAGGGGCAGCTCATCGGTGTCACGGGGGACCACGAGTGTCTGGGACAGTGGCACAGCTACGTCCCCCTCAAGTGCGACAAGGATGGCTTCTGGTCCGAATCCATCAGCCTGCCCGCAGACACCAGAATAGAGTGGAAATTTATCTTGGTGGAGAATGGGAAGGTCAGACGCTGGGAAGAATGCGGTAACAGGACCCTAGTGACTGAACACGAGGATCAAATTGTTCACCAGTGGTGGGGGTACCATTAATGGGAAGGTGGAAGCTGCTGATCTAATGGCAGACCTGCCTAGGTGAATCACCGAGCCCCTAAACCTTAGAGGGGCTCCCCTTCTTCTCTAGGAGACCCTCTCAAGTGCAGAGCTCTGGAAATCCCGTATCGAACCACGTAAGCAGCAGATCTCCTTAGGAAATCTTTTGGCAACCTGAAAAATCAACTTTGAGTACGTGCTGAAGAGACACAGAGTAGGCTAAGAAGGCATGAGCAGCATTCCAAGCACCTGCCTGTCCAGGGGGACCTGGACCCTGGACTTGAGTTAGTGTTGCTTTGAGTGGGGCTATGGGCTGGGGAAGAGTACTGGGAGGTGCGGTTACCAACACTGTAACAGCAACTTAAGTGTTTTAGTTTGTGTAATGTACTAAGGAAACAATAAACATTTTCAGATTGACAGTTCATGACCAGTTGACCAGTGACCTCACTCTTTTTGGTAACTTTGATCCAAAGGAGCCACTTGACCTGAAATTTTAAGGAATTGCTGAGAAGTGGCCCTCCCTCGTGTAAGTAACAAAAGACTGAACCCCAAAATAGTTCATTGTCTAGCCCCCTACTGTCCAGTAATCATCTCGGCTCAAATGAAAGGCTTGGCAGGCAGCTCCACTCCTGCTGAGGGGAGAGCAAAGGTCAGAAAGGACTGTCTGGGCTTAATGAGTTACTTTGTCAGGGTGGGAGCAGGCTTTTAAAAAAAAGCCTGGAATGCTGTGATGGCTAGGGAATAGGGTTCTGGCTGGAAGAGTCAGGTGGCATACTGAGGAACAAAACCACACTATTGACAGCAAATACTTGGCTTAAACTTGTACATGTTTTTTTAAGACAAAGCTTTTCAGCTTGAATTTATTTTAAGTTTTGGCCTTCTAGTAAGCCAGATGAAGCACAACACTTCCAGCTTCAGCTAGTTGGTAGCTATGTGATAGAAGCAGAAAGCTTCTCTGCTTTCCCTGCATTTTGTATTTTTAGGTACAAAAAAAATGCTGCCTCTTGAGCAAGCTCCTCTTCCCACAATGCTGAACCAAGCTCTGGCCTGCAAACAGCCCCTTCCCCTTGAGTGAGCTTGGTCTGGGAGAGCAGAGTTTTGTAGGAGACCTGCAAGTACACAGATGAGCACTTTGCTTTGGGAGATGTACTTCAAAAAGCGTATCCCTGATCTAAATGCCTGTGCTAATTCCTTCCTGCTTGGTGTGGTGGAGCAGTCTGGATGTGGGAAATAGAATGGCTTTGGTGAAAGACTGGAAGATGAAGTTCAGAGGTTGACCTCCTGCATCTGGTGGGTTAATGGGCATGCAGTTGGTGGGGCAATGCTAGAGCTGCTGGGAGGAAGATGTGTTGGAAATATTCCTACTGGGACTTTGATACCAGCTGTTCAATGAGAGTAGGCTGGGCTGCCTGCTCCTGCAGACCTGGCCACAAAATAGCTCAAGGAACTCCTGGGAGGGCATTGAGAGGAGGGTGAGGAGGGAGAGAGACTAAGGCCAAGGCACAAGTACACTGCCAAGTTGGAATTGTGATTTTTATCCAGTGAAACAAGCTCAGTTGCACTCTTTGCACTGGGCTGTTCTAACAAGAAACTGAAGTGGATACTATACCTAATACACAGTGGCAATAGAAGGTGATCTTCAGAAATCCCTCAAGTCAAAGCAAAACATTTCATTTCAAGGTGATTACCAATCTCTTCCCCCTAATGCAGGCTCTTCAAACAATGAGACACTCTCAGCTTAAAAAGCAGTTGTTGCTGCCGCCTGAGCGTATTTATACACACGCTTGAGGCTTGTCTGAGGAGATTAACTGTGCTATTAGATTAAGTTATTCACTAGAAAGCTACTTAACCTATGCTAGAATAGATTCTCTAATGCAGTGGTGAACATGTCAAACAGACCAACCCTGAGAAGTCTTTCAAATTGAGAACAATGGATTTTTTTAAATTAAATACCCCGTGCTTTGATCCCACAGACAACTGGCAGTCTCCATGATTGTATCACCTTGCTGAATCATCGGCTGTGGTTTCTACAAAGACCCGCACTGAGCTTTTGCTAAATTATTATTCCATTCCCATCACTGCTTCCCCAGCTTGCTATGTAAAATAAATGGTTTGGGTATGGTGAAAGAAAGCAATCTGGATTTCAGTTTTTCTGGAGGAACCTATTAGTATTTCCTCCAAGTTCTCATTATTGAACAATCTAATTGCTCAAAGGTGAGAGTAGATGTAAACAAAGCTGCCTTACTGCATAAAAAAGGTGTTGCTGGAATGGCTGATGGCTGCCTAATACAACATCCTGCCTGTGAGAAACAACTTATTGTTGACATTCCTGCAGGGATCCAACAGCCAGCGGCTCAGGAGATCTCCAAGCAAACAATAAACTGTCTCTCTCACAGCTTGGCAGAGCCTGCAACCACGCAGCTACCTTCAAAGTTCACCTGCTCGTACCCTGACAGCTCCTCTAAGGCTCATCTGTCTACCAGCCTGCTCCTTGCCTGCTGCTGGTGGCAGGGGGGAAACCCAGACCTGTCCCCAACTCTGCTGGATTCCAGCATAAGGAATTAATTAAATTAATTATTTAATTATACGACAGATTATGTTTAATTCAATTATACTAATATAAAATGTATTATTTTAATAATTTAAAATTAAGCTGCTGTTTTGGACTGGCAGATGTCCCTCCCTTCCCTCTGGTTCTCTGACCCCTCCAGCTGCTCCCTGCCCTTGGCACACAGCTGCAGCTTCTGAAACTCTTTTTAACTTGGCTCCTTGAAAACAACTGGGAGTGCACTTAGCAGTGACTTTTCCCAGGGGTTTTTATTCTCTACACCTGACTCTCCTCTTAAGAAAAAACTGGTAGATTTGTCCAATATGTGTGGCAAGTCCAAACTGTGATACATACACCACCTAAACCAATCCTGTCATATTCAATGCAACTGATTCCTAGGAAAGGGGAGATGCTTTTACTAATATTTCAAGTGAGCTTGCAACATGGTTTCAAAACGTATCAGAAAGAGTGTAAAAAAATTATTAGGAAATCTAAAAAAAATTCCTTAAATTAAAAGACTGCTGGCAATAACTGAGGACAGCTTAGGAACAACTCAGTAATTTCTTATTCCCCATGCAAGACTCAAACTAAAGTTTGATGAGTCCATTCTGCTTAAATGAATCACGGTACAGTATGGAATTCAAACTCCAAGAGGAAGAATTTAGTTAGCCACAGGGAGGAATTCTCCCCTGTGAGGGTGGGCAGCCCCTGGCACAGAGAAGCTGTGGCTGCCCCTGGATCCCTGGAGGTGTCCAAGGCCAGGCTGGACAGGGCCTGGAGCAACCTGGGCTAGTGGAAGGTGTCCCTGCCTGTGGCAAGGGGCTGGAATGAGATTATCTTTAACATCCCTTTCTACTCTGTACATTCTACTCATCTGAAATATGAGCTATAAACGAGTTAAAAAATTCTAAGGGCTTTTATTATTAGTCTTTAAAAACATAACTTATTTTAAATGCCATGTGCCTACATGAAAACCATCACTAATTCATTCAGTGCCTTTGCTTGGAGAGCTGTCTCTCCTTTTCCTTGGATTTCTTTGTCTGCACCTCCTGAGTTCTGACCATTGGAGATGTGGCTGAAAATAGCAGAAGACCAGATTAACTGAACACCACCTTATGTTGCAAAGGCTGAGGTCTCAGGTGCAGCCACCTGAAGCTTCATGAAGTCATCCCTTAACAAGTTAGGCTCTACCTTCCAAGCCCTTACAAATACAGCTTCAGTTTGCAATTCTTCATGTGAATCTAGAAAAACCACTGAGGATAGTAATGGATGGCAAAGAACAAAAATGAGAACACTTACCTTTGTAAGTTATTTATATAAATAACTTAAGTAGTTTTACCTACATCAGATCACTTTTATGTCCCTGACACAAATGCACTGGTGAGTGGAAATGATTTCTAAAAACTATGCAATGAAACTTAGTGTGAGAAAATGAGAAGAGACTGGAACATGCAGCAAGAAAAAATGCAGAGAAAATTGACCCCATCTCATTTGGCATCCTGCCATCCTGGGAGCTCATGCAACTAAGTTTTGGAAAGGTTGCAGTTTGTCCAAAATTCCCTGTAATTTGCCCTGACAGCACACGAGGACACCCCTGAGCAGCTGCCATGTTTGACATGTTAAGGATGCTGAAGCTCATTAGCATTAAGGGGCATTGGGGAGTTAATCTAATTACTCTCCCAGGAGCAGGATAATGCACAAGTGGGTACTGCTAGCAAAACCAGTGTGAGCTAGTAAAAGCACAGTGCTTTGGCAGGTACCAAGAACAGTTTCTGGAGAGTGTGTGTTTTTTCAATGAAACAGGGATTTTTTTGGTAAATACAGGCACCTTGTTTTCTGATCTGTAATGATTCCACCAGCTTTTGCAGGCTTTCCATCTTGTTCAGTAGCCTCTTTGGTGTGGGCTCACTAGTTTCCATGGGCTGAGAAGCTAGGGAAAATAGCAATAATATTATAAACAATAATAAAAAAGGCCATTATAAATTACCTAAACATTCCCTTTAAACTGAAGTTCTTAAGAAATAAAATCTACACCAACTTTTCAGTAACCCCCAGAATTTTACTACATGTCTTACAGGAACCAGACAGCTATTACAAATTCTGGGGGAGGATGTGTACCGAGGTGCTGCAGAGCAGAGGGATGCATTTCCTAGGAGATATCCAAGCAAAGAACAGTGAGCACAGACCAGAGCAGAGATCCCCATGCAAGCAGGAGGCCAAAATCTCCTTACAAAACATGCTTGCCTCTGTTGAAGGCATTGAAAGCATGTCAAAATGGCTTTTGTTCTGATCTCTATTACTTGTTTACTTCCCAGACAGGGAATATCATGGCTGCTCACAAACCATGCCTCTTTGTGCATGACAAACTCCACTCCTCAAGTCTTCTACATAAAAAAACCTCTATTTGGAGCTGTTTTGGATACCAGGAAAATCCCTGGATGTTGCAGTTGGTTTGTTAGAAGGCAGACAGTAACTACCAGGCAATTTTCTTTCATACTCAGAAGTACAAAGAGAACACCCAAAGCAGCTACCCCTCACAATGAACAGAGCCTATCTCTGAAACACCGTGGCTTAAATTCTGAACAGAACACAGTAACAGTCTCTAAACGCAATTTTCACAGAAGGGATAATCTATGGGCAAGAGAAGGTAGTAAAGATTACCGTCTTCAAACCCTGCTGCTCAAAGCCACATCTTCATACTTCTTCTAGATAACAAAACTCATGTCATCACAATTTAAAAGGTACTGACCATCCAGTACTCAGAAGGAAACCAGCAGCATTTTTTGATTCCTCCAGAAAGCCCATCCATATCTAAATATCCAAATAAAGAACTCAAGAACCTAAATTTAGGCTCCAAAAATGTGACAATGCTATTGATGCTCATTACACAAGTAACAGGGAAGTTACCAATTTTGGGTGTGCTACTTTCCAATAAGATGCAGATTTTGCAGCAAGTGCCATAAAGACTTGTAACAGCAACTGCTAAGAGGTATTTAATTCCTAGGAAAAAATACTCTACTGGACTATATTGTTTATAATAATCTGTAATGTTACAAGTTTGACATCAGTGCTGCCAGTGAAAACTTCCCAAGGGATGTAAGGAACAGGGGAACATCTTGGGACTGAATAAAACAACACAAACAGGATCAGGATTTGGGGTGTATTAAAAAAGCCTTAGAAACTGAACCTCAAATGAGTACTGTAAGAAGCAGGTTACTCAGCTAGGTCAAAGCACTTTTCACTGTCCTAAAATGTGCTTTTCCACTATGCTTGCAGTAGCAGCCTCTCCAACTGCAGTTTTGATTTCATCCTAATCAAAACTCAGGAATTACATTTTCTTTTATGAAGTATCCTTATGTTCTGGATTAGAAAGATCAGAATTTGTGCTGTATTGATTTTTCAACTTCATGCACCGCTGTCATTATCATGTGTTAGTTAAAAAAAAAATAAATAAAAAATTCTGCATTTGGATATTCACATATGGCAGGAAAAGAAGAAAGGAATTCTGAACAAAAATACCAAAGGCAAATGGTGTGGTCACCTTCTATTTCCCTACCACCCAAAGCACCCTGGCAAACAACAGAAGTTTTGGAAGCTTCCAGATCATCTCAAGCTTGTGTCTAAACCTGACCTTCTTGCAAAAACACACCCCACACTGTTCCTGAGGCACATCAAGAGCCAGATCCCAGTTTTAGAGGGGACTGTAAGTACAGAGCACACAACAAAAATAAATCTGTTATTCTTACACTGCATTCCTCATGACTGTTAAAGGGGATTTTCTCCCACCATGGCTGCTCAGATCCATGGAGGGAATGGCACTGTCTGAACTTGTTAATTCTTGAAGAATCCTCTTTAGATGTTTCAAAACTTCCAGCTTGGAAGGCTTCTGAAATAATACAGTTCAGTTAAAAAGTATTTTAAAAAAGGCACTCTGTTGTCAATTCTTAACTCACCCAAATACAGTTTTTTTCCCCCCTTGCCTCTTGTTCTGTCCTTTTTAATGTGTGGCCCCAGGTATTGGTGTACAGGGAGGGCACAGACACAGGCAGGCACAGGAGGAGCACCTGGGGCTCTTTGCCAGGCTCTCATTCCCACAGCAGCTGAGCTGCCTGCAGATATTTTATTCTTTGTTGCCACAGCCATCTTGGAAATCAAGTGCAATATTATTCTCATTTTCCTGCTCAGGACCTGAGGCAAAGGCCTGGTTCAAAGAACTCTTTCTTTCAGTGAAAACTGGATTTTTCACTGCTGAGAACTGGATTTGTCAGCATTTCACATGTTCAAAGCACTGCTCCCACTGACCTTTGCTCCATTTGAGGATGGAACTGGTTGGAAACACTTTGCTACCCCATTTTCATTTAAAAAAAAAAAAGTATTTTTTAAAGTGAATACACTGGTTTCAGCAGGGCTTCTATGGGGAACAAATCCTCAGCTTCATAATGGGTCCAAGTGACACTGAGCCAGACCAAACCCTCCTTTTCCACATTCCAGCTAGGAAACCAGACTATCACTATCACCCAGGCAGAGTCTGTCTCAAGTGCTGGAGCTGCTTCATTTTGTACAATAACTAATGATGCAGGAACCAAGAAGATTAAAGTAGACTTTGATTCAAGTGCTTCTGCAACCTGTTGGGTCCTCGCTGTGGTACTAAATTAAAAATCAGTCCTTTTTCCTTCTTTATCTTCAGAAGTATAAATTGATTAACTCAGGGAAAAGGGAATGGGAGTGCCTGATGCTGCAGAGATTTCACAGAAGGAACTGTCCTTTGTTCATTGATGTAAATGTTTGCCACCACATCAGGAAGTAAACCAGAAAATATTCCTGAAAAATGCCTGCACTAACTTGTGGTCTCCTACAGATGTTGAGGCTGAAATGAATGAAAAGACCTGGGAGATACATCAGGTCACAAAATCCATACAAAAAATAGCTGAAGAATTCTTTTTTTATGAGAGATTAGAGTTGATGCTTTCTGTAATGAAAAAACAGAGCAACACCAGGGTTTCATTTAAGTCTAATAATAGACGTGCAAAACCAAAAGGAAGAACAATGATATGGATAAAACTGATCAAAACCAATGAAAGCCAGCTTGGAGGAAGATTCAAATATCCAGCAGATGATTAAGTGTATCAAGAACTAGGTAGAAATCTATTTCCACTATCAAATGTGATGGACAACAACAACAACAAAAAAAAGTGAAAACCAAACCAGTTACAGATCAGTATCTTTAAATTTAATAGTTCATAAACGTTACTTGTGGCAGAGGCAAAATACCTTGGTCATTCATCCCCTAAAGTGCTTTTTGTATTGCTTATGCAGAGGTGTATTTTGAATTTCGTTCCACTTTGTTCCTCTTTCAAAGCCAGCATCTGGGGTAGGTCACTAAAATTAATGATAATTTCTTATGATAAAACTGCTGTTCCCAAGGTACCATTCATTTAGAGCAGCAGCCCCACTGCAGCCTCAAGAGTCCATGGCTAGAAATAAGGCAAAAGTAAAAAACATCCTGCAACACAGCACAGAATGAGCTGGGCTAACTTTCTGGGGATTACAATCTCTCTGCTGTTCTCTCTCTGACGAAGAAACAAGGTGCACACAGGGATGCTGTGTTTCTGCTGCTGTCAGCACAGAAATGCTCTGCAGGATGCCTTGGCTGGCAGCTGGTTACACAAGCCTGGCAGCCATAACATGCACACCAGAATGTCCCAGAAGGGGACAAAATCCTCCAGGGCCAGACCCAGACCCCCTGAACATCTCTGGGATTAGAAAATTCAACTGTGCTAATGAAGCAGAACTATACCTTTTCCTCCTCAAAAAGTTTACTTTTATCCATATCCAGTGACAAGCATTTAAAATAAGAAATATTACACTTGGGAGAAGGTATCACAATTCTGTCATGATTTTTTTTTAAAAGGAATTTGAGAATAACTCCTTCCATAGAAATTTTCATCCAAATAAGTTAAAAGGACAATTCCTTCTGGAAGAGCAGCACCTGGGGTTTCTGTGCCAGTCAAACCAGACCTAACCTTAGGGGTCAGGTATGGCAGCAACAGAAATCTCACCTAAAAAAATGTAAAAGGCAAATGAAACACCGTGCTCTGTAAGAATTCCCTCACGTGGAAGATCAGAGAAAGCAGCTGTGCCCAGAGTTAGTGGAAGGTCCTAGAACCTGCACAACACTTTTACTTTAAATTCCCTGCAGTTTAGATTTCTCTCAGCTAATAAGGAGTAAAACAAGAAATCTCTTAATGAAAACTGAAGCCTTTTATTATTCAAAAACTCTTCAGGTGAGGATCTTACAGTACATGTGAAAACAATGTATTAAATCCAACCCTTCTCTTCCCAGGAGACTGTAGAGGAAAACATCCAGAAGTCTCCCTGAACTGAGAGTTTCCTGACATTACCTTATCAAGGGCTATCTCCAGTTCTGATAGTTTTTCTTTCAGCTGTTTGTCTTGTGATCTCAGGATCTCCAGGTCCCCAGCAATACTGGTATAATACTGGTATTTTCTGCTCTAATACAGCTCAATTTTTGACTTAGTTTTACTCTTTTCTTCTCTGAGGTAATGCTCCTCCTGATTTTAAAAGGAGAACTCAGTATGAGTCAAAAATTTATAAATTATAGACATTTATCTTCTGCAGGGTTTTTTTTTTAATCTTTGAAATATCTGAACTAGCCCTTTGAGAAGCTTAGATATTGCACCTTGCACAAAGATGAGGCTCTGTAACAAGAAAGGCCTTACAAGGAAAACTCGACTGCACTGCTTTCAGACAGCATCCCAGATTTTTGATCCATTTCAAAACTGGAATTTTAAGCTTCAGGATCCACAGGATCCCAAGCCAGTGAAGAAAACAGGACAGGTTACAGTGAACAGATAAAAGTGATAATTCAGTGAACTACAGCTCTTGGTAACTGAGTGATTTGTCACAGAAGGTGGAAAAGGACTCATGGTGATAGACAGACCCTGACAGAGCGTTCACATCCAGAACTGCCTCAGAATCCAGAGGGGAAGCACCCAGGACCAGAGTCAGAAGGACACAGAACGCCTAAGCTGGCATTTTTAGGAAGAACTGATATGTAAGAGCCTGATTCTCATTGCAATCACTCTCTTCCTTCCAAGAACAAATATAAATTCAGGCCTGTCTCTGTGTAGAAGGCTGATTTCCATGGACACCAAGTAAAACTATTTTTGGTCCTTCATGGGCTGACTGTGCTTTTGCCCATGCATTTCTCCCAAGACAAATCTCTCTAAATGCAGTGAAATACTTCTAAAAGGAGCTCTAGTGACCTTAGCTGTGTTTGCCATCTCCTCTTCCAAGAATTTAATCTTGCTCTGCAGTGCATCTGTCTAATCTGCTTCTGCACTCTTGCTGCAGCTTCCAGAGCTGGAAAACACAAGGTTAATTCTCAGTGAACAATGAGGATTATGATTACAATACTTAGAAAATTTCTCTGTTTGGTAAGACAAATGTGTGGGATTTTTGGCAAGTTCAATCCATAGTTACCATTGCCAACAAATCCCTCCATAGTCTTCAGAGCAGTCTGGGCTGCTCTGCATTTTCAGTCTGTTTGCAGTATTTTCCATTTCCTTGATTTCACCCTGATAATTCCTCTTCAAATGCCTCTGGGGAGAGAAAGCAAAGATTGAAATTAGAGTGACAAAAAATTTCATTCTTCTAGACTAAGATTACTGTTCTGCTGCCAACTTGTGATAAAGGTAGTGCTCCCCAGGGGTACTTCCTGAGGGTACAGGGATATGCAGAGAGCAAAGCATTTCACCAGCAGCATCCAGCCTGCTGCCATGCAGATTTAACTGGGAATATCCTTCCATTTTGGTGGTTACTCTGGGTCCAGATCCTGCTTTTTATGAATTTTAAATAATATATTCATATTTACATATCTCAGAAGCATTAGTATTTTAAAAATTTTACACATCTGTACATATATTTTAATCATGTCTTGATGGGGTTTCCCACACATTAGTTGTGAAACATAACATAACATGGATGTTAAAGCATCAGCTTTTAATAATGTTGTTGTAGCAAACCTGCAACAAAACAAGGTTTCACTATAATTTGACCACAGATGGTTAATGGGTTAAACTCCTACACACCACTGCTGAAAAAAAGGGTCAGGTTGCTGTTCTGTGATTTTACTGGATCTGCTTTTTTCCTCTCCTGACTTGGGCAGTTTTAAATATTTTTGCTCCTAGTGAGATGGGCCATAAAGATTGTGTTCCACCCCACCTTGGGTGCCAGAATCCCACGCCATGACACAGCTCCCTGGAACAATCTGACCATCCTGCGCTGGCAGGAACCTCACACTGTACCAGCAGCCCTATTTGGATTCAGCCAGCAGGCTGCTCTTTTATTTTTAACATGAGCCCAAATTAGCAGCTGTGGGAGCTGAGCTCAGACTCCCTACCTGCAGGGCCAGCTAGCTCCCTCTGGCCAGCCTGGAGCTCCTGCAGGAGCTCATCCTTTTCCAGTTTTGTGTCATTCAGTAACCAGCTGAACTTTTTCCAGCTCCAACTGGCTCAGCCTGGCCTTCATTCCATGTGTTCTGGCTTCTTTCTCATCCTTTGCACTCTGCATACATAAAAAATAATTATGTTCAATATACATAATGACATAAAATAACAACAAAGATGCGTGGACAACACTACTACAAATCCCAGTCTGGGGCAAGAAAGAAAACTGGAGTGAAACAGACCAATTATTTGTGTGAAAATTGCTAATCCGGGCAAAGAGGGTGCAGCGGAATTGCATCTGACAGCTTTAAAGAATAATGAACCTCACCAGGTGTAGCATATGAACATGGCTTCCATTCTCTTGTAGCAGCTCCCCCATGTGCACTCAAATGGCTTCTCACAAAAAAGGATGAAATTCCCTGTCTGGAGTGATTTTTTCTTCTGAAGATGCTGACCTGCATGGCACTACCACATCCTGTATTTCTTGTCTGAGAAATAACCAGTGTCCTCAGTTTGGAATTCTGACTGCTGCCTGTCTGCAGCTTCTCAGTAACACTTGGTATTTCTGGTTCTCCTCTGGCGTGGACACTCATCTCACTGAGGTCATTCCAGCTTGCACCAGTCTTTTGGCAGCTGCTTTTCACCACAGAATTATTCATTTTAAGTGCTAATGTTATAATATTATCCTGCACTGCCCACTAACTGAGTGCTGTTACAATTCCAGGGGCATTATTGCCTGACCTCCTTCAAAACCACAGTATCAGCACATTAAGGCAGAGATTAAAAACCATAAAACATTTACCATCATAAAAAGACAAATACAGCATTGTTTGCACACCTTAAACTCTTCTGCTTTGAGTTTCCAATAATTTATTTCTTTTTCCAGCTGGGATTTCTCCACTTCTGTTGCTCCACTGCAGTTCAGGTCAAGCAAAAGATTTGTTTGTTTCTACCTTTTGAATGTCCTGGCATCTTTCTGGTTTTCTGTAGCACATCTTCAACACCAGAGTTGTACAGAAAAATTAGGTCAGGATGCTCTGGGCTCCACTCTCCATTTTAATAACTGAATAGAATATTGGTTTTTTAAACACAGGAAATAAAAAATGTACAACTGATCTAAAAAATAATCAAGTGGCAATGTTAATACAAAATTCAGAGCACTTAAGGCTAAATAACTTGAAGTGATAAAACTCGACTGGTTGCTCTGTGAAGTTGGGGAAAAAACCAATTACATCAATAATTTATTACTGATTTAATTCCTGCAAGCAGCAATATGCACCATTTAAAGTACCAAGTGCTGTGATTCAGAAACTGGTAATATTGAAAATTACCAACAGAAGAAAAGAGTGAACTTCCTGGTGGGAGGTTTTCAACAAAAAAAATAACAGACTGAGTAAATTTAGAATGATGTGTGAGTGAAGCCTCTAGTTTATTAGAAAATGAAGGAACCAACTGGATCTTTATTCATAATGCAAAGAAGGTTATCTAATTACAGCTCACTTTTGAGGGGCTGGAGAAAAAAGGGGAATGTAAAGGCAGTGTCTACTTGGTCAGAAGGAATTCTAACACAGCTCTCACTGGTTTATAAATAGTACATGAATATAAATTCTGGTTTATACATAAACTTCATTAGATTTTCATTAAGTACTAAATAAAGTAAGGCATTATGAGAGCCTTTAATTTGCTCACTAATCTTACAGACATGCTCACAGCTGAAAATACCACTTCCAACAATTGGCTTGGTAGATCTGGTAGCAGTGAACGTTTTGGAAATGTACAAAAAGTCACTTTGAAGCTTTAGAGTCAAAAGCACCAACCTGGCACTCCATTTGTCTGCAACACTCCATCCTCATTTCCTTCAGTGCCTTTTCCATCTTTCTGTTGTCCAGCTGCCTCCTGAGCTGCTCCAAGGTGATGCTGTTCTCTGTGTTCTGATCCCAAAAACGCTTGTTCTGCTCTTTTTCTAGGCTTAGTTCTCTCTTTTTTATGGAGTTCAGTCTATGAGAAATTAAAGTCATCTCCCTCCTAAATAAATTCAGGATTTTTTGGTTCTCTTAATGATAATTTAAAATGCAAATAATGTTAAAAACACTAACATGAACATTTCAGAGCTACTCATTTCAACAATATGAATTTAAAGTGTGGCCCAAAGAGAATCACCAATGGGCATTTCTGATAATCATAACTTCTGCTGCTGTTTACTGCTTGAATATTAGATTAATCTTGCTAAATATGTGTTAAGGGACAAAGGTTCCCTAACAGAGGGATCTAAACTGTGAGGTTAAAGTGGAGATAGCTCAGCATCTTTACATGATTTGCATAGGTTTCTGTGGCTTTGAATTTATGACAAAGTTAAGTCTTAATTCTGAATGCCCCTTACTGCTAATGGCAAATGCCCTTGGGCCTTTCACAGCTAATTCAAATTTCTAGATATAAATAATCCTCAAAGTTAATTAAAAGGGGAAACAAGCAAGGTGCAAATCTGAACACCAGAAGTAAGGGGAGGCTTTCAGAAAGCAAATGTTTTTTCAATACTATCACTTGTTTTTTACCAACAACTGATGAATCCGGTCATTCAGGTTTGCAGGTTCCTGGCCATGTTGTGTCTGGTCTGTCTGAGCTTCTGCTGCCTCAAGATGAGCCACATGCAACTGCTTCTCAAGGTCTTCAACCTAGAAAAAGGCAAAAGCTCCTGAAGAATTGCCTTAAAGCATTCTATTTAAACAGCACACTGGATTTCTTATGGGGTTCTTCATTGAAAGAAGCACAAATGTTATCTTTTGGCCCAGCAGAGTTATTCCCTGAGTGTGCTCATAATTGTGTTGTCTTCTTTTAGTGAGTAAGCTCAGTTTCATTTCAGAGTCAACTGAATTTCTGGAGAGTAATTTGACTTCCACCCTGATCCAGACCTCTTCAGAAGTCCCCTATCTACACTATAAATGCTGATTAGAATGGTGAAACAACACTTTGGGGAAAAAAAAAAAAAAAAAGACCTTTTTTCAGAGAGAACTACTCCTTCACCACAGCTGTATTCAGAAATCTCCACTCAAACATGTTTTGTACCTTTCTCTGAAAGGAGGCAACTTCTGCCAGCCTATGAGATGGTGGACACAGTCTACAAGGCTATTGAATAAAGTTCTTCTTACATGCAAAACTTAAGATAATGTAATTTATCCAATATTATCCAGACAGTTTTTGTAAGCAATCCCTCATTAAAAGATTTTCCTCCCGTCTCAGGAACATTTCAGATCTCCACACACTGAATTTCACTGGCACCAAAGCTAACAGGCAAATCCATACACACCTTGGTCTCATAGATCCTTTTCACTCCTCCTAACTGGGAATGGAGCTGACAAACTGTGGATTCCAGGTGACAGACTTGATGTGAAGGCACCAAATTTGGGGTTCTTGCTTTTTCTCTATGTGAAGTTTGAGGTGGAGAAATTAGAAACAGTAAAAACCAGCAAAGGAGAAGCAGCCCTGGCCTCCTCATCCTCAGCCTGCATGGATGTTTTGTCTCTCCTCTGTATGGCGTGGTTTTGTGGGGTTTCTGGATTTTTTCCCCTTTTCAGTTCAGTCTGTGCAACCAGTGCTTCACTTCAACAAAAGCACCAAGAAACAAAAAAAATAGGGCAGAGAGCGGAGTGTAGGAGCAGCATAAGCTTTCTCTCAAATTCAGGTTACTCTTAACATTTCCTACACTATAATCAAAACCCAGACTTAATAAGCTGTCTCCACCCGGCTTTGGATGCTACTTGCAAGCAGCAGGCATGGTCAGCTTTGTGAGGCAGTGCTGCCACCTCATGCTCGTTCCTGAGCTGCTCGATCCCCTTCCCAAAACAAAACACTGGCTACAATAACATCTTGGCGAATACTGAGCTCTTTCACTTGTCAGAAATGGAGTCATTTCGATGTTCTGTTATTAAGTATCAAGCTATGCATAGTTTTACTTTAAGGGGGTTACTTTGTAACTCAAGTAGATGAGGGGGAAAAAATTAGGACATCTCAAACCATAAAGGACAAAACTCTTAGTGAAACCAGCAATAAAAACCTCATTCAACCACCAAAATCACTTTCAGTCTTTTCTTTTAATGCTGGAACTGCTGTCAAATAAACACCTTGATGGAACAATTACTCAAGTCCTCAAAAACATTGCTTGATACTTGCTAGTCGCCCCACCCCAAATACCATCATCATCACAAAGGAATTCTCTGTGGAGCACGTGAAAAATGTCTGCTTATGCTTTATGAATTTTAACAAAAAGAAGAAAAAAGAATGCATTTGATGTTGCTGAAGCCAAAGTTCTCTTTGGGTCTGCGAATCTTTGGCCAGCAACTGAAGTTCTTCCTCTGCCTACTGTGAACAGAGGACACAGCAAACCCCTGAAGAAAAGGCAGTCTGAAGAGCTGATTCTGAGGTGTGATTTCCTCCCTTTTGCTTCCACCTTGAGCTGTGGAAACGTGGCAAAACCCAGCAGTAAACCCAGCCTCGAGCTGTGACCACAGGAAAAGGCTGCCACCTTCACTGCAAGGTGGCATTTGCACCTCTTTATGCCATAACCCCTTCCCTAGGCCAGACTAGAAGGGAGCTCAGGGAGTCTTCAAATGTATTTCCTAGAAGCCAGAACACAGAGCACTGGAAGGAGAATTAGGACTTGGCTCACATACCAGGACCAGCTTTCCTTTGAGGTGTGACACCTGTGAGTCCAGGTCCTGCAGGACACCACGAAATGCTGTGCTCAGGCTGGTCATGTCCCCATGCTCACTGAGCTTCCTGCCCCTGCTGTCTCTGCAGTCCATTAGGATGCCACATAATTCCAGAAGTAATTCCTCCAGGCTGTGCACCACCTTTGTCAGACGCTCATTTTGGCTGTCAGCCTCGCTCAGCACCCCATCCTGCTGCTGGCTGGCAGCTTCCAGCTCTCCAGGACTATTTTTTAACTGTGTTTGTAGATTCTCTTGGCTCTGCAATTCCTTCTGTCTGAATTAGGAAACAAAAATAAAGTAATTCAGAAAACAGGATTCACCTGGAGTTCTATCCTCACAGGTCCAGTACTTCAGTTGGTTAACTGAAGTTGGTTTTTACAACTAAATAATGGGTTGTTTTCTAACCCAGGAGTACTAGAATGTTATTCCTGGAGAGGAGCTTTTCCCTGAGGAAGCCTGCTGTGCCTCTCCAAGCCCATACAGACACTCTCCATGATAAATCTCTTCATACCTGCTGTCCTGAAGTGCATCTCTTTCCAACTGCGTTTCCATCTGTTTGCTCTGCCAATGAGACTGAAACAGATTTCCTGTTGTTGCAGAAGAAGAGTTTGTTTATATAAAACCTTGAGCACAAAAGGAAGGAAACCTGAGTCAATTCACATTGCCTTTTTTTATTGGAATTGATCAGGCAATGGATCATTTGCTCCATTCCTGAGGGGGTGGTGTCTTCAATCACTAGTCTGAGGGAATCAATAAATCAAATCTCAGTTTGCCATCAATTTTCAAACTCATTAATGACCTTTCTGTGGCAGAAACTTTCAAATACTGGATATACAACTGTGTATAAAAATCACTAAATTCAAGCACTAACTTCAGCTGACAAAAAAAAAGAAAAAAGACACATAGCAAGGACAGGGATTTTCTAATAGCAAACAAATCCTGTGTACTACCTTAATTCCTGGATATTCTCGTTCATTGAAACAGCACCTGTGAAGAAAAAGATGCATCTTTACTCTTTAATCCATTACAAGTCAACTTAATGTAACAAAATTAATTCCACCCTTTGAATTTTAAAACTGCAGGAGGACTTAAAGATACTTTAAGGGGAGGTAAGTTTCCTTCCTTTTCCAAATCTTCTGGTTTGTTTCATCACAACAAACCCAGATGCAGACAGAAGAAAAAAAGAAGAGAAAAAAATAGGAAAAGAAGAAAAAGAAAAGGAGAAAAGAAAGAGACACAAAAAGGAGGAGGAAAGAGACACAAAAAGGAGGAGGAAAGAGACACAAAAAGGAGGAGGAAAGAGACACAAAAAGGAGGAGGAAAGAGACACAAAAAGGAGGATGAAAGAGACACAAAAAGGAGGATGAAAGAGACACAAAAAGGAGGAGGAAAGAGACACAAAAAGGAGGAGGAAAGGAGAAAAATCTGTTACTCGGTTGCAGTTTTAAAATCAGATGGTATTGACGGGTTCTTTATTCAGTTTATGCGGATTTTCCTGTGTGACTCGGCCTCGGGAGCCCTTGTGAGCACACCGCAAGCCCAGAGGCAGCTCCAGCAGCATTCGCCGTACCTGCCTGATTTAACACCTTCAACAACCCCCTCTGCCTGACACTTCCCTGTGCTTCCTGTGGGCATATGGGCAGAGAAGCGGAGCCCTTCGTCCCAGAGCCCAACCCTGAGGGGCCAGAAAGGCGAGCAAAGGGGGAAACCCCCTCAGTCTTTCTATGGCGGGCACTGGAGCCGCCTTCCCTCAGGCGGGACGGGTCCCGTTGCTCTCCCGCCATTCCCGCCGCGGGCCGTGAGGGCACGGAGCCCGTGCAGCTCCGTCCCCTCAGCGCTCCGTGACACCGCGCTCCCAGCCCCGCAGGGCGCTGATGCCCACCTACCAAACGCTGGGGAGAGCCGCCAAGCTCCTCCCGGCTGCTCCCCCGCGAGAAGGAGCCATTCTAAGCCGCCTGTTGCTCCTGCAAGACCCGCTGACTCCATCGGGAATTGAGGCGTCGAACCCCTCAGTCCCATCATAGCCGCTGCACCCTCACGGCGTGGGCGCCATTTTGTGGCCGGGGGGCCCAGGTGGTTTAGCGATGCCGTGCTTGAGGCTGGAGGTAAAAAAATCATTTCACGAGCATAAGGCAGGGTCTGGATCATTTGTCATATGTTATTTGGCCAGTAAGATGGCACGTTTTGGAGACGTGACCGTGAGCTGACTGAAGGCAGAAGTCGATGTGAGGGGATTTTCTCCCACCAAAGAAAAGGCCAGAGGGTCAAAAGCAAAAGATCCAAAGGCAGCCTTTCCTAAATCCAGTCCAGTAATAAAAACTGAAATATTTCTATTTTTACACCAATCTTGTCAGAGAGGAAAAGTTTCTGTTTTCCCTGGTATTTTCATAGTGAGGGATAGGCTGTAGAGTCAACAGGAGGTTATTTCACGTCAAAAGAAATTACATGTTTGACTGTGGCATTTTGGATCTCGATTTCAGGAAAGAACACAGAGGTCGTAGTAGGCCATCCATCCTTTCAGGTTATTTAAAAGATCACCTTGATACAAGTTTCCAAGAACAGGTGTATTTACTGGGCACAAAACAAAATCCTCAGATGGAGAGATTAAGTCTGAGAAAACTCCAGAGACAGACAGGTACGTTGATTTATTTAAATATCTGACTAAGATGAAAACACACATAACCGTTTCTCAAGGGTACCACATCATTTTCATTTACAAGAAAAAAAATCATCCACTTAGTGCTGAAAGACAGAAAAAGGGGGAAAAGTGGTTTTATGTGGACTACGATAGAAAAGTAAGAATTAACCAGCTGAAAACAGACCTCCAGTCTCCATTCTCTTTGCTACACTGCAATCCCACATGGAAAACAGCTCGAGGAAAAAGATTTTTATTGCACCACCCAGAAAAGGCAGCAGCAAAATGATTTTTCTTATCCACAGGGATAAGAGGCAAATGAGTGTTCAGGCAAACACAATACCCTACAATATCCTGAAGCTCTATGATATTCTCAAGCGAGATTTTAATCCTCTAACAGTTGCAGGTGTTAATAAAGCATGAAAACTTACCTGGGAGGGGGCCAGCACCCACCTCTGGCAGGCAATTCTGGGCTTTGTTTCTCTGGGATTTTGGAGAGGGCACTGAGGTTTGGCTCCTTACTGTGGGGCTGGGAAAGAAGGGGGGCACCCATCACTCCCCACTTCGCTCCTGGCTTTTTCCCTGCTGCGGGCTGGCAATCCAACTAATTTCCCAAGCCCTACTGGGAGGCACCTGCTCCCCACTCCAGCCCCTCTGCCTGACTCGGTAGCCTTGGGAACAATCCTCTCCCTCAGGACCGATCATGTGCACGAGGGAGAGCCAATAAACGCCGTATCCAGGGTTTGATTTCTCCCACAAGTGTCATTCAAAGCCTGGCTTCAGCGGGAAACTTGATATATTTTCCCCATCAGGATCCTGGCAAAGTGCTTTTATTTTTTTTTTTGCAGAACACCACCTGTCGTGACTGCAGGTGCCTTTTTTTATCCCTTGTTTCCTGGGAATCTGGGTCTGGAGCCCCCAGCAACCCCTGTCATTCCTGAAACACAATAACTCTCTTAGGATCAAATTGCTGTGTAACTTTCCTCCTATTTCGGAATACCTCTGCAGAGGTATCAAGATGCAAATATAAACTGCTTGTGTTTAAAACAATCCATTCCTCCCACAGAGAGGATGGGGAGCTGTGCAGAGGAGCTAGAGCTTCAGAGGGAAGGTATCTGAGCGATTTGTGCCAGCAGAGACTACTCAAATACCTGGGCCATTGCCACCAGCCACTTCAGGGTTGGTTAAAGGTTCTAACAGTGGCTTGAATTGTTCAGTCACCATCTTACTTAGGGTGGGAATGTTGCAGGGTTGTGATGTTGCACTGTGATGACTCTGGTTTGATTCCTGGGTCCTGGTTTGGACTCTGTTTTCAGCAGAGTGGTGGCATCAGAGAGATGAAAATTCAGATGCAGAGGCAAAACCTACAGTTCTGAGTTCAAATGCCCCAGGTTCACATCCTTCAGTTGTGACAGCATTTGTGCTCTCCTTAGAGGGATGGATCCATTCCTCACCTTGGCTTGTTGCTTTTCAGTTTGCTTTGAGGAACTGAACGACCCACGGTGGTTCTGTGCCAGAGGCAGTATTAATTGGAGAATGTCTTTCCTGTTCTCCAGAGAAAATTCTTTCCTTTTCAGACTTCAAAGACAAGTGCCTTTTCCAACACCAGAAGGATGTGGATTCATTGATTTCACAGGTTGCTTCTGTTTCTCAGCTTTGTTCTTTCCTTTCTCTCTCTCTCAGATCTCTGTTTTCCCCTTTCTCTGTCTGATTTTTCACATTTTTACCTCAGGCCTATCCAGACAAACCAGGATATTCTATGGTTTGGAAGGAAGATGAACTCAAAACCAACAGGAGGCTCCCTGTGTAGCCCTAGGATTTTTTTCTCTGGAAACACTGTTTGAACATTAGTTGATGATTGCAATCCCTTTGATACCATGCAGAGCCTCAACTCTGTTATTTCTTCCTTTAGATGCCAGAGTGACGTTTTCTAGAGCCAAGATGTTACAGTCAGCCCCAGCTGATTGGAGGTAAGTTCAGGAAAGCCATATTTCTGACTTATTTCTTCCTGATTTTTTTATATAATAAACTTCCAGGGGAATTGCTACCCCAAGAAGGAATGATTCCTTCCTGAAGGGCTCCTGGGGTGATCCAGGAGAGCTGTGTCTTTTGACACTTGTGTTTTGTTCTATCCCACTGCAGATTTAGGTGAATGGCTTCAGGACTCCTGGGGAGAGGAAGAAGCTGGGCCCACTGGTGCCTGAAGGATGTCCATTATTTGAAATTCCTGACGCTCCTCAGCTTACACAGAGCCCTGTCTGGAAGGAAAAGAGAAGTTCTTCAGTGATAAAACCGGGGACCAAGGGAAAAGGGGCGCTTCTTTTTCAGCCTTTTCATGCCTCTTGTATGGCCATCAGCAAATCACCCGTTGTGTCCCTGTGAAAGGTAGGAGGGCCCACATTATTTCACAAAACTTCTCTTTAGAGGCAAATTGTGAATCTGCTTCCTCTGAGCTTACAGGGTAGAACTAAGCAGCAGGTAGATTTAAACTAAGCCTAGTGTTCAGTTCTCCTGCCAAAAGGGCAGTAACAAGTGTGTACAAAATGAGCTGAATTTCCCGTCTTTGGTTATATCAGGCACGCTGAACACTCAGGACACATCCTGCTTCATTTCTGAAAGGAAAAAGCGTAGTAAACGCCTATTAACCAAGGCAATGTTGGCATGTAAATCGGTCAGCTTAAACTCTGACAATTTCTGGTTTCAGCAGACGGGGGCACTGTTGCTCTGATGAACTTCACTTGCAAAAGAAACTTTGAGTATTTGAAGGAATTTAGGAAAAGACAGGGTAGTTGCCAGCTGCCTTGATTGATGATAAATACAGGGTTTGATTGGGACCTCTGAAAAGTGAAATCAGTGTTAATTTTTCCTGCTGTGGCAGTGTAGTGCTCGATGAGGGAAAGGGTTCTGACATGACTGTTCCAAATTTATTTCCCCTCACACCGAAACTGTGCAAAACTTCAAAGATGCTGTTCTGTGTGGAAAGCACTTTTCTGAGCCCGGGTCTCTTTTGGTTGCATCCCATCAGGGAGCATCTCAGCTCTGTCCTGAGAGGAACTCCTGTGTGGAATAAGAGCCTGCTGAGGAAGTAGCACAGTATTCAGCAGAGCCCATTTTGGGTGATTGATGGACCCTTTTTCCTTAGCTGGTTGTGAGTCCCTGATACATGGAAGTGCCTGCATGTGACCTTTTTAGAGCTGGGTGAACAGGATGAAAAAATAGCAAATCTGGAGGTGGCAAGAGGAGAAAATTCTGTGCTCGCGCTGGTGACAAATCTGATGGCCTTTTTTTGGCAAAAGTGATGTTGGATTCAGCACTTGAAACGAACCACAGTGCTGGAGGAGAAGTAAAACTGTCTCTCAGAAATGTGTTGATAACTTTTACTCATCAGATGCAGCAGGCCCCGTAGGAAATAGAGCTCTCGCTGGAAACCTGGTGTCCGCAGGCAGGTGCGGTGGCAGACGTTCTGTGTGGGGAATGGATGTAAGGCAGAGCAGTGCCTGTTAACAGGCTGGTGTGTTCCTGCACAGCCTTACCGAGTGCTGCTGGCTCTGCAGGGGAGGAGACACGGCCCCAGGAGAGCTCCCAGAGCCTTCCCCTGGCCCGGGAAGGGCTGTGCAGGGCACGGAAATGAATTGCTCTTTGTGGTGGCTTGGAGTGAGGGTTTTCACACTGAAACATTAGGAGTGTAAAACCTCAGAAATCTGGTTTGAGAAATCGGGCTGAAGAGTGAATTCTGGATAATAGCAGTCCGTGAGCCTGGCCAGGATGTGAGGCTAATGAAAACTCAGCCCCTGGGAGGGAAGCTGAGGGGGCAAAGCCTGGTATAAGCAAGGATTGAGGAATCATCTACCCTGAAAAATAAAGCAAGGGGCCCCTTTTCTGTGTTTGTCTCCATGGCTGTTGGGAATGAGACCTGGGACATGCAGGGCAAATAGAAGGTTCTGGGAACATGTAACATCTTAAAGGAAATGGAATGGGAATGGGGTGGCATGGACAAATGCAAGGATTCCTGGCTTTGGAGCTCCAAAGCTTTCCCCCCACCATTCATTAAGGTTTTGTTAACCCAAGGCTCTGAGAGCTTGCAAAAAGCCCAAAGGAGAAATAATGCACAACCCATGCATGGTGAGATTAAAAGCTGAGGGTTCCTCAGAGGCAGAGACAGTACTGTGTGTTTCCTCAGGAAGGGCAGGGGGCTCTGGTCTCCTCTCTCTATTGTCCCTTTGGGACATCCAATTAAAAATCAGGAAAGGTTTTGCACACCTTCAGTGACACTTGCTGTGATATATGTTAAGTGATGAGCCAAATCCCTAAGTCTGCATGCACATATGGAAGAGCAGATGCACCCACATTCACATGTTCTACAGTAGGCAGCTGCTTGCATTAATAAAAGTATCCAGGGTTTTTGGTGTTATTTCTTATTCCATTTATTGGGAAAGCATTGGCCTTTCCTGCCAGTGTAAATGGGGAAAAGAAGTATGTCCAGGGAAGCTGGTATGCTCCATGCAGAGGAAAAGCGCTTTATGAGAGCAGAATTATTAGCAGTGCTCCACTGAGCTGATTTGGAACAGGTCCATTGTGTTTTCAGCAACTGGCAGTTTGGATTGTTACAATTCCTTGGCAAGGACAATGGAAAGATGGTGGTTTCCGGGGGCATAATAAAAGGGTGAGCCCCAGCTTTTGCACACTGCATTTTATAATTGCGTGCTTGATGTGCACAATTGGGCAGCACTGCCTTACTTGCCTTAATCCATCTCTCTCTCTCTCCCTCTCCCCCCTCACTTCCTCACCCTCCCTCAGAGCAGCAGTAGCTGCTGCCGCTCTGGCAGCTCATCGGGGAGAGCACCAAGAATGAAAAGGGTTCAGCTATCGCCTTAACGTTTTTCCCAGAGGATTCATTTCACCTGCTTCTCCAGTTTTTCCAATAGCTTTTTTTCTTTTTTTTTTTCATTCTTTAATCCAATAAGTACGGAGTTATTTCACATTTTAAACCCCTCTAAAGGGTTTTAGGAATGGACTTGCTCTCTCCTCCTCCCCCAGTCTTTTTTTTTTTTTTTTTTTTTGACAAGTCAGAAAATTGTGAAGTAAGCGAACAGAGTGACTGAGAGCTGAGAGGGAGAAGACGCTGCCATTCTTTTAGTGCAGTGGGCTGAGGCAAAAAGGCCATTGTAATGGTAAATCGCATGCAGAAAGGAAGAAAAGACTGATAATCAATCACAAATGAAGCATTCGCTTGGATTTTGGCAATTTACTGGCCAGGGGCTTTTAAATCCATAAACTTTTCCTTTTTTCTATTTTTTTTTTTTTTTTCCTTGTTTTGCCCCCATCTTTAAAAGCACAGTTTTGGTCTGCCGAAGGCAGGAAGAGAAATCTTTACCAAGCTCTCATGCTCAGAGTAGCTGGGTGCTGAAACTAAAATCCTGACGGGAGAAGCAGCGTGGTGAAATGTTGATGGGGCTGTTTTTAACCCGTCACCTTGGACTCCGGCTCTGAAGCAGAACTTTCCACCTCAAGCTCTTCTTGTTTCTCATATTCAGGGATGTCTTGTGCCGGGCTCCTTGGGGACTCAGATTTCCAAGCCGGTCGCTGTGTGAATGCCTGAATGGGTTTTGTGTTTGCCTGAGTATGTGATTAGGACAGATGAGGATGTTAGACAACATTAACAGCGGCATATCCCCTTCAGAGTGCAGCATCACCCACAAGGGAAGATACATCTACCTGGAGGCGCTGCTGCACGGAGGTGCTCCATGGGGATTCACGCTGAAGGGCGGGCTGGAGCACGGAGAGCCATTAATCATCTCAAAGGTACTTTTTTCTTTTTCCATGCTATGCCAGCAAGGTGGGAGTGGTCCCCGACTCGGAGGGCGAGAGCTGTAGAAGTAACATTGAAATGTTCTAAGTAAGGTTGTGTTTGGCTTGGGTTTTAAGTGCTGAGCACCTGTTCGAGTCAGCAGGTTTGCTCAGGAGCTGCGTGTCTGAGAAACACAGGAGAGCTCTCGGCATTGTTTAACTATCCAAGTGCAGGTTTGCTCCCACAGGAAGTATCGTGGCTGGCCGAAATTGGCTGTATTTTTATCACTGCTGTGAACGGGAGGGAGCAGGGGACTCTCATGAGGTGATCTTGTGTCACAAAGTCGTGGCATATCTGATCATGGTCAGTAAGCCATCCCCACCGCTCCTGAGGTAAAACAGAGTTGAGTGCTTTCAGTCACACTGAGAGGTGGAATGTTGGCTAATTAGGAGTGTGTGTGTGAAACAGTGCAGTACATACTTGTACCTGTTTGGTAAGTGCTAGTGGTTTGCTCACCCTACTTTCTAAATGTCTGTTAAGTGTGGTGTGCCTTCATGATGTTTATTATTTAATGATTGCCTCAACAGGCAGCTAGTAGCATAGCTCACAAGGATATTTTTGAGGGGGAAAAAAATGGGAGAAGGAATTCCTTGTTCTCATCAGAACTGGTCTGTTACCCAGCTACCTCAAGATGCAGCTGCTGAAGACCATGGATTTTCAAAAGCATCACCCTAAATCCTTGGATATCTGAAATACATTTGACCTATGGCCCTAAAACTGTTCTGAAAACAGGGTATAGGTAATTCTGAAATTTCACATCTAATGGGTCCTTGCCATGTTTGTCCTGTCTCATCAATCTGGTGCATTCCGTGCTTATAGTGTGTCTCTCGAGCTACCAGTACACGGAGGGACTTAGATCCAGTCTGCACCCCTCCTGCAAACCGGGATGTATGTGGGGAATGCGATGGATCAGAACCAGCAGCAGATAAAACAAAATGCTGATACTGAGAATCAGTGTTGTTCAAATCCTTTGCGTTTTCAAATCCCGCTGCAGCTCCCTGTGCGAACACGTTCACATGAAGGCTATCAGTCACTGAAGTAAATTAGTTGTGATTACTACATTCATGTGTTGGAAGTTAAAAAAGTGGGGGCTCCCACTGAAGTCGTTTCAACACAAAGGGATTTTAGAAATTTCACACCATCATCTTTCTTGCAGGACCTTCTTGGAAGCAGTTTGGCATAGGCACAGGCAGCAAAAGCAGCCTCACTAAATGGTGTTATAATTTTTCTTTTATAAACACTTGGGACTAACACAGGCTGTTCACTGTTCCTGGCAGTCTTCTGCAGTCGTGAGGAAAGAGTTTCTTTTTGCTCTGACATTCTTCTGTGATGTAAAAATCACACTCCCCCTTTCTTTCCCTTTTTTCTTTTCCCCCCCTTTTTTTTTTTTTTTTTAATTGGGGGCAGGGAGACAGAGAGGATGGGAGATGGCTCTGGCTGCTGAACATTAATTAATCTATGGGATTTGGTTTCCACAACAACCAGGCCCCTTAATGTCAAACACGCCTGGAGTGTGCATAGTGCCACTGGGAGCTGTATGACTTGTGCCTGCCTTTCCTGAAACAACACCGCAAAAATGTGCTGGGTTTTATTTTCCCTTGGGTTTTCCCTTTTTTCTGCTTGTAGTCCCTGCTTGGTTTGTGCTATCAGTGTCAGCATTTCAGTGTTCTGCTCATGCATGGGTGATGCAGAGCAGGAGAATGGCTGCATGTGAAAGCTCTGCTTTCTGGAATTCAGGCAGCGCCTGTTTCCTGGTTTCCAGTTTCAACTGAGAAATTCCTCTGCTGCTTCAATTCACTATGTGCTCTTCAGAATTAATTGCATATTAGTCATTTAGGTAATTCAGTATTCCTCGCCTGAGTGTACTGTGAAGTAATGAGGAACTGTGGGGAAATGATGAATTATGTTACAGGTTTAATTGTGTACAAGAGTGCTTGGAGAATCATAGGAAGTTTTAGGTTGAAAGAGACCATTAAAGATGCAGGCACTGGGAGTGATCCAACAACGGTTCTAAATAATACTACATATAAATACCAGAAAATGTGGATGTCAGGTTTTAATTGCTGATTTTTCGTAATTAAGAAGCTTGATTTTCTGCTTTGTCTCCTTGATCTGTTGGCAAATAATTATATTTATATCTGCTTACCTGTCTGTTTGCACTGACAGAGTGGTGTTAAATGGCCTTAGAGTAAATGAAAGTGGACTTTTCAGCAAATATCTAAGCTGGTGCCTGTGACAGCTTGCAACATGACTTAAAGTAACACTGATGTATTGTTATGGAATAGTAGAGAGGTAACAGATCTGTGTGGATGCAGCAGCACTTTATAGCCCCCAGGAACTAAGGTGTCACAGCTTCGGACCAAAGGCTGTAATGGAAATTCAAAACCAAGAGGAGTGAATTTACAAAAGGCCCACGTGCACAAAAAGTGATTCTCACAGCCCTGGGCAGCCCTTGGGAAAGACACATTTCTCTACCTGTAAGATGCCAAGAATTTACCCAAAAGTGAGGGGAACAACAGTTGGGAGTGTAAAGTGCAAAAAGCGGGCCTGTATTCTCAAGTGGTAGAAAGTCCTGCTTAGAGACCCACCTACCAGAGCTTTGGTATGTTTTTAGTGTATTTTTTTAATTATTGCCTACCAAATATGAACAAGTTACTTGCTCTGCAGACCTGTTGCTGCTCTCTGTGCAGCAGGACAGGCTGATTGGGAGGGAGGGAGGTGGCTGAGTGCACACATGGGCACAGATGGGCAAACTTCCAGTTAAAAACAGTAGTGAGGCTTTGCTGACTCAGCCACGCTGCTCAGCACACGGTGCAACACAGATTCTTTATGCTAATGCTGCTCTGATTTCTGACAGCCCTTACACTGAAACAGATTAATGGCAGCTGATTCCAAGCCCTCCAGGCAGGTCTATTCATCATTTATTTTGCTGGAAGTGGGAGAAGACCATAAATTTGCTACGTCTGACTCACGTTTTTCCCTGAGAGAAGTCTCAGAATAAAGCTTTGTGGAATCCTCCCAGCATCTGTTTTTGTTGTACCAGCAGGAAAGGAAAGGAAGGATGGTAAAAGGTAGTGAGTTTTCTGCTGCACCTCAAGGAAATATCCAAAACCCAGTACCTAAAGGAGCAGCAGAATTGTCTCTGGGTAGGAGTGGGACAGTGCCCAAGAAAAGGCAAGTTAACACAGTGGATTTTCCCTTTTATATTGATTCTGTGGTATAAAACATGTAGTCAGTGACATGTTGTCAAATAGTCCTTTGGCAAGAAGGTTCTCAAGTTTTTAATTACTTCCCCTTTTTAAAAAAGAACAAAACAGGACAGTTGCTTGTTTTGCTTTCAATGTTTAAACGCATTTGTGCTTAAAAAGTAACTCACTGTCCTCAGTGTGTCAGTAAGCCTTCAAAATGAGTAAAAGTCAGATTCCCTGAAGTGACCTCCACTCCTCTGTTTCCAGACCTTGGGTCTTACAGTTGAATTTCTATTTCTTATTTTACCTCTTTAGTAATTTAGAACCCTGTCATTTTGGCCTGATTTGGGGATATTTGCTTGCGGTGGAAATTTCATTAAACAAGTGGTTTCTTCATCTGGAAATAGAACTTCAGTGACAAATGCCAAAGTGATTGCTGGTGATACCAAGTGTTTAATTATAATCCAATATTCTGTGACCTCAAAATCATGATAATACCCAGAAGTAAACCCAGATTTCTATTTCCAAATTACTTTTTTGGCTCACTCTTAGCTGCAAGATCAAAAATGCAAAAATGAAAGCCCTGACTGTTACAGGCAGTAAAGGCCAACTGGTAACAGAAGGTTTCATTCCATCTCAATTTTCTCTAAGAATTTTTAACCTAAGGTAATTAATCAGTCTCAACCATTTTGGAGCCAGGAGAGGTATTCTGTGGTGTTTCTCCTCGCTACACAAACCTTTGGAACAGTTCTGGCTGTTGTAGGCCTCTGCAATGCCCTTTTATTTTGAGCTCCGTGTTGACGATACTAACAAAGGACTTGTTTCTCTTGCCTAGGAATTAAAGCATCCAAAGCATTCTCCCTCGGATCCCGGCTGTGTTGGGAGCACTTTTCACATGCTGTGCTGGAGTTCATGGGTTCCCTTCACTCAAAAGGGCAGGGACCTCATGCCAAAAGCATGACACAAACTCTGAGGTTTACCTCTCAGCAGGGATGTAGGAAGCAATAAAAGTTTAATAATAATGGGAATAGTTTGGGACAGAGCCTGAGAAATAATCTGGAATTCTTGTAGGGTGTTTAAACCTTGTCTGGAGCCTGATCCAAACTCTGATGCAATGAACATCGGTCAGTGCTTGCAGGAGCTGGACCTGGCTGCCTTCACAAGGCTCCCCTGCCTGTGCTACTTCTCTGGTGTTTTTGGTTGAGAGGGTCCACAGAGCACTTCGTGATGTGCAGTGAGAATTGTTCCACCATTCTTGACAAAACAAAACTCGAAATGCCATTCTGTACCCATCCGGTCCACAGGCACTTTCCCCTGTCTCTGATCCAAACACCAGGAATTCGTGTTCTCCCAGTACCACCAGCTCATAGCTTTCCCTGCTTGAATGCCCAGAGTCCCCATAAACAAAACAAAATGATCTTAGGCACTGACAGGCAAAGCTTCTTTACATCTGTTCCCTGTATCCCTAGGTGTGACAAGCAGCAGTTTAGGAACTGTTACCCTTTTTGTAGGGCTGCAGGCACAAAACCTGTGCTCACGTTAGGGAGGCTGCTCTGAAGCTTGCAGAGTCATGAGAGACCTGTTGGCCTGGGCATTTGGACATGAAACTGAGCCAGAGGCATGATAGCATCTTCTGTGATTTTTTAAAAAAAAATATTTTATTTTTTTCTTTGAACATTTCCCCCCTTGTTCCTGTCTATATGGATTTTCTTTTTCTCCTTGCTGCTGAGGAATAGCTTGGCGCCTGTGTTAATGTTTTAAAAAAT